GGGCGGCCCCGCTATGTCAGGTGAGGTGGCCGGAGCCGGCGAGGGGAGCGGAGATGGCTGCGCGTAGGTGCATGGCACGGTTGTGGCGGTCGACATGGTGCGGGAGTGGCCGGAGAAAGAACAAGAAAAGGGGGAAATAAGACATGTGGCTAATGGGTGGGGCCCTGTCCACCTCAGTGAGTCAACACATTGACTAGGACTAGTTTTTCTCCCCATCAGCTTGACAGTTGGGTTCCACTCATTAGTTTTGTTGTTAGTCACGGCTCTCGTCTGATTTACTGCGATTTGTTATCTCTACTCCTAATGTCTGAGTTGGTAGGATTGCGTCCACGGTTTATTTTCGTCTGGTTATATTTCGTCTGGTTTATTTTCGTCCGGTTTATTTTCGTCTCACACCCCACCATCATATCTCCTCACGTTGATTTTTTTACCCTCACAATAAAAACTTTCCTAACTTTTTCAAAGTTTCCTAACTAGACACGTTATAAACGGGCAGGGACGGACTAATGCATTGATCTTTGCCTTTTCTAAGTGATTGTTATATCCTCGCAAAAAAAGTGGTTGTTATAGAGAGGGGTTAGCCACGGAAATCATCCCTCCATCCTCGGCTGCATCCCTCACCCACGTCGCTGCAGCAGGATCTTCATCCGCCATCCTGGGCAATTGCGGCGGCGATGCGTGCCAGCTTCACGATAGTGGGGAAGACCAGGCCGCCGTGAAGGTAGGCCATGCGCTCGTCACGCTCCACGAGCGGAACCTGCGCACGGAGGCGGTAGCGCGGGGTGGCAGCAGGCAATGAGGAGGTCGCGCTACGTGACGAGCTAAAACAAAACTCAAGAAAAACCTTTCTCGCTTCGCCCGCCCGCCCACGGCCTGCCGCGCGTCGACGTCTCCGTTCCCCTCAGCCTTATCCATGCACCCGCGCTCCCAGCTGCCGACGGAGATGGAGTGCCGCTCCTGAACAAAGCTAAGCTCCCCCAGCCAACGCCTCCGAGCCGATGCCGCTCGCCGGCATTGCGCTCGCGCCTCTCCTCGTCTCCCCTCACTCGCCTTCCTCTCCCCGTGGCAGCGTCGCCGTCTCTGTAGAGGCCGCGAGAAGGCGTCGCGCGCTACGGCGAGTGCGGTGCTCGGCCGCAGCGGCGTCCGGCGGAGACGGGGACGCCGGCGAGCTCTCACGCGCGACGCTGCTCTGGAGAGCGGCCAAGCTGCCCATCTACTCCGTGGCGCTCGTGCCACTCACCGTGAGTTCCCCAAATTCTTCCCTCCCCATTGCCCTTGCCAATGCTTCGCTCTGCAATTCAGAATTGCATAACCTGTTAGTGTGCTGGCATGCAAATCAGAATGAGTATTGATCGCAGTATTTGGTGGTTTGCAACTACGATCACCTTACACATTTGCATTGACGGTTGCTTGCACTTGCAGGTAGGCACTGCTGCTGCTTATAACCATGCGGGGCTGTTCTTTGCCAGACGCTACTTTGGCCTCTTGGCTGCTGCTATCCTTGTGATCACCTGGCTCAATCTGAGGTAAAACTCACATGCATAAAAATATTACTACAACATACACTCTGACAAGTAAATCGATGTTGATATCAATAGCAGTGTTCAACCATTGATTTCCCTGCTCTGAACGTATTGTATTTTTACACTAGCAGCAATGACGTTTATGATTCAGATACTGGCGCTGATAAGAACAAGAAAGAATCTGTCGTCAACATTGTTGGCAGGTACTGCTCGTTTCCAGTGCCGAGTAGTAGTAACATTCTAAATGCTTGCATACGTGTATTTAGAAACGAAACATTTCAGAGTGTGACCTGCTGTGCAGTTGGGCAGTGACACAATATGCTGCAAACGTTCCTCTTCTGTTCGGCTTTGGAGGGCTATTTTGGGCCTTTACAGAAGCAGGAGACGTCAGGTTCATCACTTTGGTTCTATGTGCAATCCTTTGTGGTTATGTTTCTCAGGTAAAATATTCTGCCCCTTCGTTAGGGAACCTTTTGTTTCCTTCGCTTCCATATCACCCTGGCACAATATATTTTGCCTTTTGCTGATCTCTACTCCTAATAAAGGAGTTGGTAGGATTGCATCCATGATTTTTTTTCATCGGGCTATATTTCGTCTGGTTTATTTTCGTTCGGTTTATTTTTGTCTCACATCCCACCACCATATCTCCTCACGTTGATTTTTTTACTCTCACAATAAAAAATTCCTAACCTTTCCAAATTTTCCTAACTGGACACGTTACACTGCGTGTGTAACCTAGATTACTCTTAGTTCGGACTGGAGACATGAATAAGTAGGCATCGATTTAGGATTTCCACTCGTGCAATGTGTTACTGGAGTTGGAGGATTCAGATGCTGTTGTGAAAAATGAATCTCGAGTGCCAGCAGCATCTCCAGTCTCTGAAAATGTTTATGATGTTATGCCAGGTGTTCTGAAGCGTCCTTCGAGTTCGAGCTCCGCCTCGATCTCATTTGTGCCACGGTCCTCCTCCCTGCAGCACGCTCTGATCTCCTATGCAACGTGCTGCTCTATCCGTCAGTAACCACAAGGTAACGATGATGAAATATCTTCCCCTCTCAATCTCTTGTTTATGTTGTTCATTATTTTCCAAATAAGATGCGGAAATTCGATGCTATTGTGGAGAATGTGTTGTTGTGCTGAAAATTTGAGCTACACAGCATTTTTTTAAGCTATTGTAGGTGAATCCTGCAGTTGATGCCAATGACTTCATTTCAATTTTAATTTTTGAGTTTGTTTGGTTATCTTTTCTTAGTATTTAGTTGAGCTGGAAATTTTACTGATTACATGTCTAGAAGAATGGTTCTGGTACACAGGTGTTATGCTTCTATTCATGATTTGCCTCTTATTGTTGATCCGAACTATTATGTTTGGTCATGCCAAATCCTGTTGACTGGAATTTTTTTTGGTCATGCAGATTTTACAGAGAAAGTGGTACTATTTAACCTCACACAGGATGTGGTATGGATCAATGGGATCACCAAGTGTCTTCTGTGGCATATTGCTTCGGTGTGAGAGGCGCATGTCCTTCCTTTCCCCTATCCCCTCGCCTCCCGTCACTTCCCTGAGTCTAGCTGGTGCCGCAGTCAATGCTGTTGTCTACCTCGTCTTCCTTTCATTTTTTTCACCCATGCTTTGGTTGAAGTCGTTGTTTGGTTCCCAGGCTGGACAAATCCTGCATTTCTAAAATCATTGATTTGTTTCTGGAAGTAATACCTTAGGTTTAAGATTATGTTATTCATAATATTTGTGTATATTAATGGTTGATCCTTCCAGCAGAGCTGACACTATCGACAATGAAGAATAAAGACCATGGAATTATAACATTTCTTAAGAATTTGGCAGCACGCCGCAAATGCAATAGTGTCTTTGTTTGGCACATTTATCCATGAACTCAGAATAAAATATGAGGGACAAAATATGTGAGTGTTCTTTTCATCTACAGAACATTTCGTGGGCATTTTACTAATGTGCAAGACATGTTGTCTAATGTGCACGAGGTTCCTATAACTATGTTAGACACGGTTAGTGTTGAGCTTTAAGAAAATATATACCCTGTTGCAACACATGCCCATTGTCCTATATCCGAAAAATGGTCGACCACGCACCGACATGTTATAAGCATTGCAGCCCGTAGCAACGCACGGGCATTTTACTAGTTCACTTAATGCATAAGTGGTGGTCTTTTGTGATTTTTAACAAAAGGGGTAGTTTTGAAGTACCCTAGCCGCAAATATCGTTGTTTTAAGCAATTTACTTCACATGTGAAACTAGCAACCTTTCAAGAGACACATACTTTATTAGATGTGCCCGGAGTCACTCCAGGAGAATATAAACAAATGTAATTTACTCACATGTAAGATCTTTCATAAATTAACAAATACAGAACTTTCATGTGGGACTAACTTTTTTGTAAATGGCATAAATAACAAAGACAAAAATGCGACTTCAACCCAAAATCGTCTTTTAGTTCTCTCCCCAACCTAATATAGTCATTTAAAATTCTCTGACCACATTGATAATGAACACAAACGTTATTTCACCACATCCAAGCCAAAAGTTACGTGGCAACACACGGGCATCTTGCTAGCAAAATTATTACTCAGGAGGCAAGTTGCAGTTGCACTCTGACAGCATCATCGGTCTTAAGCTAGCAGGAACGTCAGCAATTTGTCTGTAGTCTCCCCTTTTCCTTGCTGTAGCCGCCAGCTCATGCGCTAGAGCGTTGCAACCCCTTCTCACGAAAATGATTCTGCGTGAGGTGAAGGCTGACACAGCAGACTTAATGTCCTGGATCAGAGCGCAACAATGTGAACCGTTCAGCGCCTCATTTTGTAGTTCAGTAACAATCATTTTGAAGTCATATTCCAGCTCAATCGGGCCGGAGTACACAGTCGAGAGGACGACGAGCTGAATTTTTGTATTGTCTGCCTGGGAGTTCGACAACAACCTCGTACTTTTGCCCGAATCATACTCGATACACAATGCACAATCCTTCAGATCTTCCTCGTACCTGGTTAGAAACAACAAAGATCATGTCCCCGCAAAAAGAAAAAAAGAAGAAGAAACAACACATACTCTGAACACTTCTGCTTCGGTACACTCACCTTAAACACATCAAGGACTGAGATTCCTCCATACCCCTTCGCTGCCAGGGGCACGATCGTCTTATGTAAAAAAAATTACCCCCGCGCGTCCACGCCAATATCCCCGCGCGTCTGCGGGACGAGCCGAGCCGCTTGGCAGCCGTGAGGACGCGAGCCGAGCCGAGCAGTTAGCATCCATGGGCCCAGAATGTCAGATGCATGGTATGTTTTTTTTAAAAGTCGGCGTTGACCGGTGGGGCGTATGTGTGAACGTGGCGCGGACGGCCGTATTGTCGTGCAATTAACTGCTGTGCAGTAATGGCGGCGTACATGCAGGCGCCGACTGCTCGCGGCTGATCTCGTGACGCCCGCCTGGTAGCCTCGTAGTCCGCGCCCTCCACTGCCGCGCGTGCGGTGACCGGGCACCTGCCGCCAGCCTTCCACCTCGGGCCGGCAGTTGACGTGACCGGTCGGCTGCCGCCGCTGCGGCGACCGCCCGCCCGCCTTCAGACGCCACCGACGCTTCGACTGCCGCGCCTGCCGTCCTCGCGCCTTCCCACGCCACCGCTGCCGCGCCCAGACGCCACGGATGCCGCGCCGCGCCTTCACATGCCACCGCTGCCTCGCTTTCACACGCCACCGCTGTCGCGCGTGCCGCCAGCCGCCGGCCTCTCCCTCGGGGCGCGCGCCACCGGCGGCTCGCCCGCCCACCTCCCTCCCTCGCCGTCTATAAAAGGCCGCGCCAACTCCTCACCACGCGATGCCATCTCCCTCGCCCCGCCCATCTCTCTTCCTCTCGTCGCCCGCCCATCTCCCTCTCCTCGCCGGCAATGTCTTCCAGCGACTCCGACGAGGGCGCGTGGTCGAGCGGCGTCTGGCCGCTAAGCCTGACCATCGGCGACACAGAGGATCTGGCCCGGTACGGCGTGATGGTGCCGCCGGCAGCCAAGGTGCCGGGGCCATGGCGGGTCGGGGCGGACGGCATCCCCACCATGGGACCGCCGCCGACGAGGGAGCAGCTCCGCGCGTTCCCTGGCGGCCGGTAAACCGAAAGAACTTCGACATCGTCCTCGGCGCGTTCAGGGACGCGGCGGCCGGCTGCACCGTCGGGGACATTACCGGCGAGGCCGGTGTCGTGGATCTAAGACTGACAGTAGAATGGGGGGTAGGTATGAGGAGGCAAGATCCTAGCTATGGAGTAGTTGTACACACGAGTTTTACGAGTTCAGGCCCTTCTCGGAGGAAGTAACAGCCCTACGTCTCGGTGCCCTGAGGCGGTCGACTGGATTATATGTGTGTGTGAGTTTACAAAAGTTCGAACCCTTGTCCCAGAGGAGGGAGGTGCCTTATAGAGAGTGCGCCAGGACCCCAGCTCCCCTCCGTTACACAGGGTTCAATGCTCATAAAGGAAAGGCGTTACTGGTAACGTCTACAGTAAAATGTCATAAATGCTCATAACGCTATGGTTTAAGTCCTAACCATTGCAGAGTGGAGGGTTCCTCATCTTCTAGTGGTCGAGTGTCTTCAAGGTGGTCGAGTGAGCGCATCTCCACGGTCGAGTGGATGATGATTTCTCTTCGACTGCTTCTGATTCTTTGTAAAGATGTCCTTGGGGAGGGTATGCTGGACAGGTCCATGACCCTACCCTAGGTACATAGCTTCATCATTAGCCCCCGAATGGATCAGGGTTTGAGTGAGGAAGGGGTTGAGAACACTTCCGACCCACTCTTTGCGCTATGAATATGCCTTGTCCTGAAACAATGAGTTGAGGAGATGACGTCGACTCCTTTCTCAATCGCCTTGGTCCATTCTTGGTTGTTGTCGAGTGAACTTTCATGGTAGAATTCCGAATGATGATGTAGAGGGTGTTTGTCTTCAGTCTGACAGGTTGTTCTGCTCTCCGCGGATCACGTGGGATTCAAATTTTGGGAAGTGCGCCAGACGGAAGGAACCGAGGTTATCGGGACGGATTAGGCAAGTCTCCTCGATCCCCGCGCCACCTTTTTCGCCATGTACTGCGCGCGCGACTGTTGCGGGATTTGTTTAGATCGCTTGGGTCCACCAGTCAGCCACTCGGTGGAAGGCCTTATAAAAGGTCTCGGGCCAGGCCTCTGCTCCGCACGCTCCCATTCTCTCTTCTCTTTCTCCCGATCCCTCCACCACTCTCGCTTCCGCCTTGTCGCCGGACCTCCGCTCGAGCTCGATCTGCCACCATGGGCAAGGATAAGACGGCGGGGCTGGAACGCGCGAAGAAGGCGACCACGAAGGCGAAGGGCAAGCGGACCAGCTGGGGTAGATCCTCGTCGAGGTCCGGCCTGCCGGCGGGCTGGATCCAGGGTGACTGGATCCGCTCGGCAATCACGCAGGATGACCTCGACGACCTGGTGGAGGGGGATTGATCCCTCACAAGTCGGCTTGGCTCCCGGGGGACGAAACCGAGCCGCAGCCTAGAGAGGGTGAGTGTGTCCTCCTCGCAACCCACATAGATCGCGGATTCTCACTGCCTCCCCACCCTTTCTTCCGGGGTTTTTTGAACTTCTTTGGGGCTCAGCTCCACCATTTCACTCCAAACACCATAGTCTATCTGGCCGCTTTCGTTTCCATGTGCGAAAACTTCTTGGGCTGTCGACCGCACTGGGGGCTTTTCAAACACATCTTCACTTGCCGTTCTCAGTCGGTCAAAAAGGCCAAGTCGAGTGACGAGAGGACGCGGGTGATCCAGATGTGCGGTGGTCTGGGGATCCAGATGAGGAGCAAGAGTACTTTCCCAGCGATGATCCTTCCTGACTCGGTCTGGGGCTGGCAGTCGACTTGGTTTTACTGCAAGGATC